AACGCGTTGTAAGACTGTCAGTACGCTTGACAAAGTTGCGCGGCCAGTGGACGCCAACCTGGCCAGCGCCGCGCGCAGCCAGCAGTCTATCAGCCATATCTCGCACAGCTGCATAGGTAGGCGAAAATCCACGTAGATCCAGATGAAGTACATGATCAATTATCACCTGCTCTTCTAGCTTAGTAAGCTTCTTTAAGTTGGGCTGGCAATCGCGTCGGGCAGGCTTGCCGACGCGTCGGCGGCGGATTGTTTGTTCTGACACGTTATAGATAGCAGCAGCACTGCGATTACTCTATATCTGACCAGATTCAATAGAGGATATAGCGAGCTGGATATCTACTTCATTTAAAGCTAACTGACTAGCGTTGCGTTGAGCCATTATGTATTGAGATGAGAGAGGTGCACAAAGTTGGTGGGGTGCGGCGCTCGCTTGTACGCGGCGCTCGCTTGTAAAACACGTTACATTCATTGCATAACACACCAGGCAATAGAGCATGGACCACAAACTATGGGGCCTTCATCGACTGACCATGACTGATTTTACATAAACTTCGTATTTTTCTATTTTCGTCTACTCACATACCCCGAGTTCCCACACATGGCCTACACATGTACGTAATAAGCGAAACCCTTTTTTCATGCCTCGTGTCTAAGTTTAGGCTTTTATGACGGTGATGTTTTTTTTCTCTCTCTTCTTTCTTCGTTTCTATGTAAGAGAACATGACGAGTCTATTTGCGCAAAACTATGCAAACGTGTATAGAGAAGAAGACCAAGCGAGGCTTGCATGAATTATGCAGCTTCGTGTCAAGCCTACTACTGCTCGTACTTTTGTTGTGGCTGCGGCGTTGGGAAATTCCAATTTTCCTGATTCACACAACAACTTTGTTAGCAATTTGCTATTTTCAGACATGCACAGCATAACCAGTTGACCAGAAATACACAACAGAAAGGGGGAAAGAACGAGGAAGAAACCCGAGAAAACACGTACCCATTGCTGCAAACCCCCGTTCGGACTCGCAGTTCCGAATTCGGCATGCCCCCCTGTATCCACGGGCACAAAAATGGCTCCAGTGTCCTGAGCACCGGCACCGCTCATGCCCGCCCATACATCAAAATCGTCTGGTCCCGCGCTGCCACCGCCTGTGCCGGCCCCACCCGCACCGTTCAGACTCCCAAGGATGCTGTCGAAATCCACGTTCAGGCCATCCAGTGTGCCACTTGTAGGCGTCCTTTGTAATTGGCCATGGAGATTTGATGACGACGGTGTATGCTGATGGCCCGTGCCGAAGCCAGGACTTGTGACTAGGTTGCCAAACGATGTCAAAGGCTGCAGCGTCGGATGTTGCTGGGGTGCGATTTGCTGACGCTTTTTATTGAACCCTTTCATCACGTAGAAGGCTTCTAGGTTTTCTTTTACAGTAAATAGAAGATCCGAACAGCGCTCCTGCACGCCGACGCCATAGCAATGTCCAAAGATATGGTCGATGATGGTGGCCATGCGCTCTTTGCGCGGGAGGTCGGGCGTGCGGTATAGTTCGGTTAAGAGGAGAAGCACGGCGTGGTATTGCTGGTACGTGGTCGAGTACCACGCCCAGGGAGAGAGGGAAGGGAGTGTGTCTAGGGTTGCGCCGATTTCTAGGGTTGTGAGGGCGGCTGTGAGAAGCACATCGCGGAGTCGGTTTTCTGATTCGGAGCGCGGCTGGAGGGATGTTTGGGGGAGGTGGCGGTAGAGCAGCATCGAGTCGCAGCGCGACATGAGCAGCGTGGCAACAAGACCTGCATAACGCTGAATGGGCACGTTGGCATCGAGGTATTGCAGATATTTTGACTGTATCAGGCGTTTCCTGGCCTCTACACGGGCGCGTAGGTCGTGCAGGGTGATGTGCTTGCGATCCATCTCGATCCTGCCACGGAAAATGAGACGGTGAATCTCATTGCATTCGTACCTTATCAGTGACAATGTGACATCTGACCACCCGTTCCTGGAGGTGGGATTTTGCTGCCAGCTGGAGCTGCCAAACTCAAAGACATCGTCGTCGACGTTGAGCGGCAGAGCAATGTCAAAGTCATCAGATCGGATGGATGGATGGGGTCCCTGTGCCTCTGCTGTTTTGAAATCCAAAAAGCAGATTTGGTACCATAGCAGGGACCGAACATGGCGTTGAAGAGGAGTCAAGCTATTAGCTGAGCTATGGCTCAAACGGTGGATGCCTATGCATTGCGCCAGACGGACAAGCGCGCCCACCACAACTGAGGTGGCTCGAGAGATTTGGGCGCGGCAAAGGGGTATCTGGTATTATCAACAAATGCTGCATCTTGGCATTGTAGTTCAATGACGTACCAAGTAGATGGTCAAAGCTTGCAAAGTGCGTATATTGGACGTCTTTGCCCAGTTGGCGCGAAGGAGGGCTCGTTCAGTGGCTTTCTGCAGCCTCAAGAACAAATCTTCTTTTGTAATGCCAAATTGCGATTTTGCTTGCAAAGGCGAGACGGATGCAGCTGCAGCCATGCATACAGCGAGTATTAGGGCAGTGCATGAGTTTTGATTGGGGCTGCCGATCTCGAGGTTCAACCAGAAGCGTTCAAACAGGCGCTTACAGGACGGCAAATGCAAAACATGGGCGAGTGGGCTGACTGCTTCGGTATAGCGCTGGAGCAGGGCCTCTGCCTCCATTTTGGTGGGTAGTTGCGGGGGGTCTACCTCGTCATTTTGGCGAAGAGACAGCGAGCCACCGAGGAGCAAGTTCAACGAGGGCGCAAGAGAGGGCATCTGCTCCGCGGACAACAGGGCGGACGACTGCGACGCCCTTTGGCCTGCGACCGACGAGGATGGCGTGTGCGTCTCTCCGAGAAGCTTGCCAAGCTGCACAACATTTCAGTTTGGCTTCGGAAGTAACAACAACAAGACAGGGGAGCAGGGCGAGGGCAGAAAATACCTCTTCGGCATATTGGGGACGGAAGAATCCAGTGACATTTTCGCAGATGATCATCCTCCCGATGCGAATGGTCAGATCCGTGGCGATCTGGTCCTCGTCATCGTTCTCATCCTCGTAGACATCGTCCTGCGTCACCTCGGGCTCGGCAGGCAGGCGCTCCCAGGCGTCAGTCTCGGGCTCGACGTCCTGCTGGTAGGCCTCCCACTCGTAGTCGCGGGGCGGGGTGCCGGGCGTCGTCGTGTCGACGGAATTGGCCGTGTCATGGGCGTCGGCGACGCTTGCACTGCTCTGGGTGCGCACGGGGAGGTTCTTTGTCCAATCTGGGACCGAGACGGCGGCGGCGGCCGTCTTGCTCTGGGCGCGCTCGCGCTGCTCCCTCTCTTTCTTGCGCGCGGCGCTCTCAGGGACCGTGATGAAGACGCAGTCGCGTCCGAAGGCGGTGCAGTTTTGGCATGGGTGCGTCTTGGAGCATCGCGACTTGCGGGTGCGGCACTCGACACACGAGTTGATGGGGCGTGGATTTCTGCGGCGGACCACTCGCGACTGCAAGACCTGACCGTGTTCTGGCATGTCTCACGATCTTCATGTTTGCGCCATGGGGTGAGGGGGGATGGGTTGCGAGGGGAGGGGGGAGTGAGGGTGAGGGTGGCTGAGGCGGCAGTGGTGGTGGTGGTGGAGAAAGAGCAGCAGCAGCAGCAGGCAGTTGCAGTCGGAAGTCGGCCCGCAGCGACCCCGGCGCCTTTAACACTGCGCGGCCAGGCGGCACGTGTTCAGCCTTGTCGGCGGGTGACTCTTTTGGGACTCTCTTGGCTGCCACGGCGTTGCAGCAGACTTTTCGCCGCCGCCGCCGCCCATGCAGGTACCGGCCCATCATCTGATTGTCTGCATCCAGCCCTAATGCGCCGCCTACATACACACACACACACACACGCACGCCTGCCGTCCTGCCCTTGGCTGCATGTGCCCCAGCACCGCCATCGCCCCATGCACATGTCTGCCCTGCCCGCACGCCACGCCCGACAACGCCAGACTCCAAGCGCCCTTGCCATGTAGTCGTGCCCAATCCCCCCCCGTGTCACCAGACGACTATCTTCCCACCTCGCGCTTGAGCCGCGCTGCAGCTGATGTCGCAGCCGGCTCCGGCCACGAATCCACCGCGTCCTCGACCTCTTCCAAGAACGACGTACTGTTGTGCACCGTCGTGCCCCCCAGCACCACGCGAACGCCTGGCGAACTGGCATTCACCTGCGCCACCATCTTGGCCTCCTCGTATGTCGTGCCACCAACCATGAAGATGATGACGTCCTGTGGCTTGTCCTTGGTCGACCCGCCGCCTTCTACAAACGGATACATCTGCTGGCTGAGCCGGCCCTTGATCAGGTCCTGCAGCGTGGCTTCCAGCCGCGGCGAGTGCTGTGTGTAGACATTCTCCACCCCCTTCAAGCCCTTGAGTCGGTCTCGCGCACCGCCAAAGAAGGAGCCCGCCTGGAACAGGTCAGGCACTCCGCCAGCCCCCGCCGTAGCCTGCAGCGAGTCGTGATACGTCATGAGCTTGGTGATGGCGTTGATGCGATGCCGCGAGAGCCCGCCGGCGACGGCAAGCAAATCAAGCAGCATGGCCGTCGAGTTGGACGACGTCTTTGAGTAGCGCAGCGCGTAAATAGCAACCAGCCGCAGCTTGTTGTTGGCCGGCACATTCGGGTCCTGTATGATCTTCTGCAGAGACTTGACGTCGTTGGAATGGTTGTCTGTGCACGCTAGGCTCTGTTCGAGCTCGCTGATGTCCAGCAAGCTCTCCTCGCCCACGCGCCTGCTTAGCTCGCCAACCAGCGTGACGTGCTTTGTGACATTTCCCGACAGCTTGCGGAACTCTGGAAAGTCTTCAATGAAGCGCTTCATGTCGGCAATCGAGTCGAGCTTCTGCGACCCTTGCTGCTTCGAGGCAAACTGCTCCACGTACTCTTTGGCGTTCTGTCCCAGGTCGCCAAAGTTGAGGTACATGTTCTTCTTGAAAAAGGCATCTTGGTCCTGCGACAGCACAATCTCCTTGAGCTCGGGCCGTATGTCGGGCACATGGCGCAGGTCCACTCGTCCGTTGTGTATTCCGAGCAGCTCGTGCACCATTGCCTGATACGTCCATTGCGTCAACAGCGGGGTGACGGGATCATCGCGGCGATCGACCATTAGGAGAATGGGCCGAGTGTCCGTCTTGCGGAAATCAAACAACTGGTCCTCCTGCGTCATGTGGTACCGCACCTCGGTCGCCAGCTTCTTCACCAGCAGGCTGTTCTTCTGGTACCGGATCAGGGGCTTCTTCTTGAGCGACAAAAGCAGCGCCATGACGGCCTCGGTCGACCTCTGCAACGCATCCTGGTTCCACGAGTCTGGGCTCGTGCTCCATATGCGGTGGTTTGGAAAGCCGAGATTGAGCGACATGAGGTCGGGGTTGATGACGAGAAAGTCTGCAAAGTATTCCTGCACGGCGCGCACCACCTCGTGGTCGTCTGCCTCGGCAAGGCGCTCGAGCGACGACTTTTTGATAATGTTGCTGAAGTCTAGCCGTATCAGCAAGCGCCCAGCGCGAGCGTGCGTGCGTCGGGGCACACGTACATATGTTGTATTCGCCGTACTTGGGCTCGCGCAGCTCTTCAATCAGGGCCTGGATCGACTCGGGCGAGGGCCGCACGAAGCACAGGCATCGCAGGTGTCGCATCTTCTCTCGTTTCTGGTTGTCCAGCCGGCTGCCGTAGCATTAGCCATAGCTCGCGTCACTCGTGGCAGAGGCGCGGTACTCGGTGAGATAGACCTCGTGGTTGAGGAGGGCGGATTGCGTCGTCGCCGTCGACACAATGGGCACCTGTGCATGGTGAGTTGCTTGCATGCAGTCGCTTGGTGGAGCAGACAAACCCACAGTCTCGTTGTCGAGCAGGAGAATCTTCATCTTGGCCGCCGACGTGCCCGTCGCCGCATTGTCCCCGGCCGACACCATTTTGGTGATGTAGCCCGAGACGGCCTGGATGACGTCCATGGGGGCGGGTTGCTCTTTTGCGTCTTGTTCTTCCGGGGCGCTGCGCTGCTTTGTCACAGAGGGGCCGAGTGTCCAGGTCGTCGTGTTGCGCCCTCTTGCATGGCGACGCGGTGTGTGGTTGCATCGGTCAGTACAGCGACAGCAAGTTCGAGGCAGCTGCTGAGCTGAGCTAGGACGTGGCTCAAGCGCGACCGCCAAGCCGACCATGTACGAAGTACTCTGCATACTTACGTCCTTCCTCGACCCGCCATGCTTCTTCCTCCATCTGCCATCACCACCATCTCAGCATCCGGCCCCTCTGCTGCTTGTGAACACGCCGCCTCCACATGCATCCCCCTACCGTGCACCAGAAACCGTGGCCATGCGCGGGCACCACCAGCTGACTAATGCCGTGCGTCTACAAGGGCCCTCTGTGGCTCAACCCCGCTGTGTGCGGGGCATCTCACCAACACAGCAACCTGCCAGTTCCCCGGCGTTTGCCTTTGCAGGTTACCCAGCAGACGTAACCTGCCCTGAGTTGCAGCCAGACTTCATTCTTCATCAGATGGCTGCTTCGTAATTCCCAACAACACAGGGTGTATTATCAATCAACGGTTGGGAAAGAGCGAGAGCGCATCCTGACGTCGTGGTGCCTGTCAGCCATGCAGCTACATATATAAATCCATCATGACGTCCATTCACCAACACATCAACACATCCGCCAGGCCGCCCATCTTCTACAAGACTCGGCCCTTACAGCGCTAGATCCACCCAGCATGCCACAGCTCTTCATGTAACGCATCGGCGCCTTCAATTCACGCTGCATCACCTGCTGACAATTCACAAGCACCGGCGTCACAGGCTACATTGGCGGCGATGTCCTCTATGCTCTTGCAAACACATACCCAGACCTTGGCATTACCGTTCTCGTTCGCAACAGCGACAAAGGCGCAAAGGTTGCTGCACAATACCCCAAGGTCCGCCTCGTCTATGGCACGCTCGACGACAGTGACCTCCTTTCCACAGAGGCCTCCAACGCCGACATTGTTCTCCACTTGGCCGACTGCGACCATGTAGCTTCTGCACAGGCCATCATTGCCGGTATGGCTCGTAGCGGGAAAAAGTCTCATCTCATCCATGTCTCGGGAACGGGCCTTGTTACCTTCGAAGACCTCTCCAACAACACCTACGGCATCAAGAGGGAGAAAATCTGGGACGACTGGGACAACATTACCCAAGTCACCGATGAACTTCCCGATGCAGCCATCCACCGCAATGTCGACAAGATGATCCTTGGCTCTAACCAGGCGTCGGCCGGCAGCATCCAGTCTGCCATTGTTTGCCCACCATGCATCTATGGACCGGGCCGAGGTCCCGACAACAAGCGCAGTGTACAGGTGTACGAGATGGCCAAGTCAACTTTGAAGCGCTCCAAGGGCTTTGTCGTCGGACAGGGCCTCAACCTATGGGCCGAGATTCACGTCCAAGATCTCAGCGAGATTTTCCTTGCATTGGTAACCGCTGCTCTGTCTCCTGCTGGCGCAAAGGCTACCTGGAACAAGGAGGGCTACTATTTTGCAGAGAGCGGAGAGTTCTGCTGGGGTAATGTTGGTCGCAAGATTGGCGAAATCGCCTTCCAAAAGAAGCTCATCAACCACGAAGGAATTGACATGGTCACCAAAGAGCAAGCTGATGAGATGAGGCCATTTGGTGGCTTTGTCTGGGGGACAAACTCTCGCTGCAAGGCGATCAGAGCCAGGAAGCTGCTTGGTTGGACCCCCAGGCAGAAGAGGCTGTTTAATCTACTGCCAGAAATTGTCGAAAATGAAGCCAAGTTACTGGGCCGCATCAGACAGCACGCTGAGGAGGCAGCTGAGGGACGCATCTTGAAGTAGACATGGATGAAGCAAGTTGCAATCAGCAGGCTGCAAGTGACCGCACAATACACGAGTAGAAATCTGTAGCTTGTGAGATTTATCGACTATGCTGCATATGTGATCACGGGGGTGTAGCTGTTCTGTCTGGCCAACAATACTCGTAGCAGTGCAAGCAACCGAAATGGTTGTGTGTAACATAGATATTCTATAGAGCTAGTATCCCTGGTGTCCTCGGATTCGCATATTCGCTTCTCCCTATGCATTCATGAGCCTCGGCAAAGGTGTGTTTCTGACGTCATGTATCCCAACCTATGAACACCACATCAATTCCCTTTGACACTCGAGTAATATACTTCACCTCTTTCCACTTGTGTAACCCGGGGCCAATCGTAACTTACTGACCAACATGCCTCTCTGCACACTCCATTTGCTGTCCCTCCATTGCACAACGCCAAATCCTCTCTTGACATTCCTTTCGGCGCTCAGTTCGTCCAATGTATTCCCCCTTGTTGTATCCCGCGTCATCCGCTGGATAATTCTCCCGTCCAAGCTCTCCACCGAGCACTTGCTCGCTCAAAACATCAGCTGGGACCTGCTACTCGTCGTACCAGGCACAGACGCCCTCCCTTCTGACCTGGCCAAGCACGTGCAACACCACTGGAGTGTAACCGCTGGCATTCCATCGCGCTTGATCCAAGATTTCTCCTCCAAGAATAACAAGCTTCTGCATCCAGACCCCAGTACCATACCACAGGCCCAAGCTCACGCCCACAAGAAAACGACTCTGTCAAGCCAGAGCCTCGAACTCAGCGACGAGTTGAATCGATGGATCCAAAATTTTGTGAACAGCGGTGCCGAGGAAGGCAAAGGCGCAGTGTCCATGTTCAATCTTCTCGCCTTCAACCCCGGAATGAAGGACGAATACCTCAAGTACGGCACCGCATTTGCAAAATCCATTGGCTCCAAGCACGGTGGCAATGCAAAGATAGTCGGCAACGCCACACATGTAAATGGGGCGTCTATCGCCAAAGCATCTAAGAGTAGTGTTGGTAGTAATAGCGAGGCTGGCGGCGGTAAAGATGACTGGGATGAGATTGCCCTGGCGCACTATCCTAGTATCTTGCACTTCAGGGATATGTTGGCCAGCGAGGATTACCAGGAGGTGAATAAGAAACATCGCGTGCCGAGCTTGAGGGATACTTGTATTCTGATGACGAGCGAAACTGCGATAGAGGAGATGATGAGGGAGCGTAAGGGGGCAGCGAGATTGTGAGACGGATGTACATAACGAGTAGCATACCCATACTATGGCATGTTTAATGCATGCCTCTTGTATTTAACACATCCGAACGATTACCTTCTTCTCAGCCTTCCAGCCAAAAGACGATATCACCTACGACGCCAAACCAAAATCAGATCCCAGTTGTTTTCCTCATAACTGCATGGATCTCTCTTTCAAGGATCCACATCAACCACCAACTCCTTATACGATAACCGTCCCACGCCCTCCCCTGGATGTTTCTCCCTCCCCTTGTCCCTTCCCTCCATCCCTCTCCGCCATCCCCCCCTCACCCCCTCCACCCTCGGCAACACTCAATTGCGTCTCTCTTGCCTCAGACACCATCCTGCCCACAGCTCGCGTGCTAGATCTAACTTCCGCTTCCACATGTCCTCATCTTCCCCTTTTACCTTGAGTAAAACAGGCCCACTGGGCCCGTTTGGGTCCCCGGCTTCAAAGGCGAAGCACCGGCGGTACAGGAGACATGTGGCAGCGTGGCCGTTGCGCTGGCACCGCGTGCAAGAAGGATGGGTACGTGAGCACGGGAGGTTTTCGAGGGTGCATTGGAGACAGGAAGTTATCCAGACGAGACGTGGTTCACTGGCATTGTGAATTGGACCAGTGATTGTCGTGTTAATTGCGAGTTTGTCGTCGGGCGAAATGTGAGTTATGTCGAGATTGGGGGGTAGTGGTCCGATTGCTTGCTCGAACTCGCCATAGCTCCTTGACTCGGCATCAGGGCCATGGTTGTCTGTGATGGTTGTGTCGGAGAAATCGTCCCGCTGATTATTTTTTGGTTTCTTGTGCAGACCAGGATCGAAGACGCTGGGTCCAGAGAAACATGTGTCTGTTGGAGATGCTTCATCACACGCTACTGTTGCGCGTCTCGGTGGCGTGGTTGGGTGGATTTGGCCTTTGGCAGTCACCTTGGTCGTGATTTCATCCGTCTTGAAGTCACTAGACTCTAGCGCATTGAGCCAATTCTCAATCATACTTTGAGGCCCTGTCTCCATGTTGAATTTGATCTATCCGTTGGCTTGAATAGAAAGCAGAATAGCAATTCGGTGCGTGCGAGTCGATTTGAAAGTAGAGATTGTTGAAAGCGGACAGGAGCCGAAAGGGCGAGGTCGAGCCGTTTGGGTAATATGAACTCACGGTGAAGTTGAATTGACTAACGCCATTTTCAAAGTATTAAGCAGAAATTTCCTTGTTTGAGACAGGCGGTGTAGGAGGGACTGGTGAGTCTAGGTACTAGATGTCTTTTTCAATGTCATGGTCGTATGGTATATTAGGCATAACTAGAGACACTCTAGATGGCCATAAGAAATTCAAAAGTAGGGCGCAGCGAAGATGAAGTAGGTTTGATGGCGGGTGTATATAAAATCCAGAGTCACCCTTAGCTACGTAACAATGTTGGACGAATGTTATTTCTCCCAAGCCAGATAGCGACCCAAGCACAAACTCAGATGTACTCCACTTGTGAACCACGCATGAAAGATATCACTCTTTAAAATGGCTCATGACATCGATTATCAAAAATGAGCATTTACGGGAGTAATCCTGATTACCGAATCTCCTAGCCATTGACGTTGTGCGAAGACTGTGTTCCTCTCACCAATCATCTATCACCAAGACCCAATTGTTAAATAAACCCCAATCAATTAGATTGGGCAATAGGTCTCTTAGGCTTCCCCAACCTGATCTGCCTCACGGTCCTCCTCACCATAACTAATCTCCAACCACTCTCACCCGCCTCTCACACCCCAAATGACTTTGGATTGCACATTTCCAATCTCCTTTGCCAAACACGCGCTACAATCTCGAAGCTTTCACTCCAATCATCCCACTCCTCCACTACCTCACAGCGGAACCACTTGCCACCTGCCGCACCAATACTCTGCACTTGTTTCTTGTTAGACGGGCTCTGCCCCGCGACACAAGGCTCGTACGCAATCAAACCGAGATCCTCCAATTCTTGCACATTACAAGGTGTGAAGAGAATTTGCTTGAAGCCACGCATAAGCGCTTTCGACTTGTCTAATGCCCGGTTGGAATTCGGTGGAGAGAAAGTGTAATAGCCCACTGCATGTCTGCCGTCGTGATAGAAGCTCGGCAGGAAGATGATGGTTACTGGGTCATGAAATCCCTCTTCTTGGTCATGTGGTATTTTTTCCGCTGTGACGTTTGGTTGCAGTTTGGGAAGCCGGCTGGTGGGATGTAGATTTGGAAGATGGTTTATCGCAGAATCAAAGTTCATGAAGCGAAGATTGCGCTGTGCTAGGCGTGCTATTGCGAGGAAAATGGCCGGGTTGGTAGCTGTGCATTTGTAGATGTGGAAGTTGTATTCTTCTTTTCGATGAGGCGGGATGGGCGCTTCGAAGTAGCGGCATCCATATTCGGGCTTGTTGTTGTTGTCATAATCTTCTTGCTTGACTTCGCCCTCTTCATCACCTGCAACGGGTGAGTCTGACTGACTCGGCCTATTGCGGCGGTACTCATCAATGTCTATGCAGATGTGCGCATGGCCCTTGACTAAAGAGAGTTTGTGTAGGTAATGTCCGACGCCCGCCCTTCGCTTCACGGTACCTGCCTCGACGCTGTTCACTACTATGTCATCCTGGTGAGAGACCCATGGGTCGGGGCACAGACACTGGTTTCGGGCAGTCGTTGGATGTAATGTGGCTAAAGGAGCAGTTCTACCAGGTATGCGCCTGGCCATAACTTTGACAGTATTGGCTTTCTTCGGCAAAGCATCGGCGGCCGCCCCATTCTTCGTTTTTGGCATCCTGGCAGTGCGGCAGATCGGCTCGTGAACGATTGTTGTTAATTTTCCGTGTCATTGAAGAACAACTTCAAGTATAGGAGTGTGGAGAGTAACTGAAAATATGCTCGTGGGTTGAATGGTACTACCAACTATGGATATCGGTGAGGGTCTGTGCGCAGAGTGCGTTTGCAGTCCCCATCTCACTGTGGATAGCAATCTCGCATAAACGTGGGGATTGTACAATAGCAATTACTTCTAATCTGAATCATCGTCTGTGTCCTGTCCAAGCACTAGCGATATCTTATCATCGTCACTGTCGTCATCAGCGCCGCCTTCACCTGGATCCGGGAGCTTGGGTACTGCAGACGCGGTACTGGTGGCAGTAAAATTTGAGGTGGAAGACGCAGTCGCATGAATGAGGCTATTTTTGTAAGTGTCTGGAGCTGCCGAGACAGGCTGTATGGGATGCGTGGACTGCGGCTCGTTTTCATCTGTTCGCGCGCGCTTTGAAGGCGAATGGAGACCTTTGTCGCTCATCGGACGCTTCGTGTCGCTAGACGCCAAAGATTTGGAGAAAGGCTCATGTAACGTACTGTCGCCTGCTCGAGTTGACCTAGAAGTGACAGAGACAGGTAATCCAGCGTTGAGCGTACCTGATACAGCAAAGTCCCTCATATCTGTGCTAGTCTTCGCAGGCTCTCTCAATAATTCAACTAGGTCTTCTCTTGAACTTTCATCCGCTAGTTCCTTTTGGGTCTGAAGATTAGTTACTTCTTCTTCTTCTTCATCATCATCGTCCTCTTCTTCTTCTTCTTCTTCGTCGTCGTCTTCGACATCTATGCCATTTCCCCCCTCTTCTGAATCCAAATCCTGACCTCCTAGGCGGATTACTGGCACCCGTGGCCTCAGCATGCCCTCAACACCCTTTTCAGCTGAGAAGGATCGTGCCATCAGTGGCAGAATGCTTGCTGCAGGTTTGCCAAACTTTTTGCTTGGCGGAGGGTTTAATACACTAGCCACCATAGCTTCTTTATGCTGTGTGAGAGTGGCGGTGCGGTCAAGGCGAGCCCGCATTGAGTCGGACAGATATCGAGCAGGGATATTTGTGAGAAGTATGGGAAGAAGGTCGTAAGCGGCTTGCACCAATCCCGTGAAATAAGTGACGGCGTTGCTAGTACCTTTAGAGGCACTGAGAAAAGCGTCGGCGTTTGCGGTAGTCTGTGCCTGGATGTTGCCGTTTGCCTTGGTCTGGTTTGGGGACTGCTTCTCTGTGCCAGTGGTTGCTACGGATGGAAGCAGATCGTCGCAACATGAGCGGATCAGGGGCAAGAGAGAGTCAATTGTAGACTTGTGGAATGCGACTCCTGATCTCTTCAGTAGGACTGCGATCGCCTCATAACATGCTGTCCTCACTTGAACTGTGTCTTTCTCGGCACCGAATATCCAGACCAACTGGTCGACAATGATGGAATCCAGTGCGATGGTGCTTGCTTGCGACCTGTCCGCTAGTGCCAGAAGCACCTCAATTGCTGCGACATGCAGTTCTGGGAGTAACAACCAGAGGGCCTCTCTCTCCTCTTTGCTCACTTGGGCGTTCAGGCGAACGGTGTTTTGAAAGCTTTTCTGTGAAGATGCCGGAATGGTGAGGGAGAGTATCCTCGAAACCAAGTCGGTTATCAGACCAATGTTCACATACACAGTACTTGAGGTGGGGCTTTCTAAATATTCTTTGACAACATACAAAAGTCCCACTAATCGTTCACCGCCAGCAAAAATGCCAGACCAGGGCGGGAGACCTGAGCTAGGCTCTAGATCCTGGACCTCATCGTCAATTGTATGAGCATTGGCCAGGGGTGCCTCACGAGCACTGGATTGCCAATCTTCGACCACAGCGCGGAAAACTACGTCTGCAGTCTGATGCGTGTTGTTCACAACAGTTTTGATTGATTTGGCCCAGTCTTCGGCCGCAGTGCCCTTTGGTGCGCAATATGGTAACTGTACATAGAGCTGGCGCGCAGCGGCAGCAATGTCGGAGGCGACTGCATGTTGGGCACTGGCAGTCTCCTCTTGACTTATCTTGGTAGATGGAGTGGGCGCCATCAAGCGAGACAGGAGCGGGTGAAGTTGCTTGAGATATGACCGGAAAATGGTGGGATGTCGCGGCAGTAGTTGGCTGAAACTCTGCAGAATGACTTGCAACAAGGAGCCCGGCGTGGAGGGCGTATTGGCGATTTGCAGGCCAGATTGGATGAAAGGCGTGAGCGAAGGCGTGGTGATTTCGCGGACCAGGGTCGGATATTCTCTGGTCAGGGAGAAGATGCGCGTCAGAGTGATGACGCACAGCTTCTTCAAGGACGGCGGGTCGGGCTTGGTCAGGAATCCCAAGAGACGGCGCACCCAGGGCAGGCTCTTCTGCAGAGTTTCCCAGCCGCCGACCTCAATGGTGGCTTTGACCAAGACGACGGCGCACCATCTTCCATGGGGAGTTCGGTCCTGGAGCAGAGTCGATAGTAGGGTCCGGTATTTGTGCACGGCCACGGAGTATTCTGACGATGTCGCCTTGGTGCCCGAGGTCTGGGGCGAGGAGAGGATGGACCTGCATGAGGCCAGGGATGCAGCTATAGCGGGCACGTGTGGAGGGAGCTGAGGCGTTGGCGTGGACGAGATGCGAAAGCTGAGTGCGCGCAGCGTCGCCAGTTCAGAGGACACGGGTGCCATGGCGGGATGCTCCTGTCTGCCGGGAAGGATTTGAACAATTGGCCATGCACAAGCTGCGATGCCGGGGTGGACAGACGGTAGCAAAAAAAAGTCGACACGTCGGAGTTAAGGTCGGGCCGGGTGGCGCCAAGGGGGGGGGGCGGCAGGGATGGGCCCGCTAGCCCGGCTGGGTGCAGACCAACGCTGCCGTTGGCCAGTGACATGTGGTATGCCCTGGCAGACATGGGCGCATTCAGTACACCTATTGCTACTCGAACATGATTGTACATGTATTGCGACTTTGTGTAGTGCCAAAGGCGTATCTTTAGCACCATGGTGGTAGGTCCGCGTGCTGCTCTGCCTGGCCTGGCCGGTCCAGGGCGCAGAGCACTTGCACAGCAACGTCATGCTCCGCGCCGGTAGCTTACAGCAGAACAGAACGCCCCTGAGAACGAGAAAGCGAAGCGCTACATACAGCAATTGGACGAGGCCAGATGCGCCGGGCGATGGAGCGACGTCCCCGAGCTGTGCAGGAAGGTCGAGAAGCACGCGCCGCACCGCAAATGTCAGCAGAGCCCGTCGATGAGTTTGGTCTCTGTGAGGGCTAACGCCAGTTCAAGGCCTCACGCTTACAGCGCGCTCCGAGGCACAGATAGCTGCCTACAGCTCCCAGCGCCCTTCGACGGCCTCTTCGACGGCCTCGACGGGCCTGTCCAACATCGTCCCCGCCCTCCTCACCGCCATCGACGACGAAGGAACCCACGAGCAGGATGCGTTCCAGGCCACCGTCTGCCTTGGATGGACGCATTATGTCCTCGACGAGCCCAGCCTGACAGTCGAACGGCTTCCCAAGGACTTTGGGGCAGTGGCGACGGAGCTGTCGGGCGAGGCAGGCACACTGCATGGATGGTCTAGGGTGTGCCTCGTCAAGGGGACGTTTCTTCGAGGTAACACGCGCAGCCTCGTCCCAAAAGCAACCCCCCGAGGCTAATGTGTACAGGTTCCGCACTCGAGAAGACTGGCGCAGTTGGCGAGGCAGTTACGGCCTACTCGTCCATCATGCCCTGGCTATCCAGCACTTCGACACCAAACACCGAATCAGCCCAGTTCCACATGTGGGGCGAGCACTCCATTGTCCGCCTCTGCCAGCTCTCCGACCAGTCTGCCGACACTGGTGAGAGCATCAACGCCTTTGATGCTCTACGCACGTACCGTTACTGGGCCAAGTTCTGGGATGCCTCCAAGAACAGCGCTTCCGAGGCCGATGACGCTGCACGACACCGCCGATTGGCATGGAAGGCATACTACGACTCACTGTCGACAATCCTGCGTCGCAATCTGCCATACGAGCCCGATACTACGCCGGCACTTGCAGAGAAGCCTTCTCCCAACCCTCAATCGGACATGCGACTGAGGCAGCGGGCAGAACTGAAGCGAGTCGAGGCGGTGTACGAGAACTTGTTGATCAAGGAGACAAAGTTTCCCAAGGCCAGCGAAACCAACCACGAAGTCGAATCGTGGGTGGACTCGGTCATGGACAATTGGCGATTGCTCTGTGGCCCAACGTGGACAGACGAGGATCTTGGCGAAGGGGGCAAAGAAGGTGTTGCTCGGGGCGTGCTCGATGTGAGGTTTCTGATGTTCCCCTTTCATGACATCGTACTGACTCTGCTCAGATTCTCTATCGTGCAGCTACCAAGACATATCACTCGACGCAAATATTGCGCAACCTGTTCGTCGTGCACGCGTCCCTGGCCGAGCCTGAGCTGGCGTACAAGGCCTACGACGCCTACGTAGAGATCATCACGCGAAACAAGGATCGTGAAGAGAAGACTGGAGAATTGGAAGCCGGCATCGACGATGATAGTACGGTGCTGAGAACGTCCGCAGAAGCCATCAGAATGCTGTGCCGCTGGGGAGACAGGAAAGAAGCCGAGAAGGCCCTCGAGATTAGCCACAGTATGGAGCACTGGCTCGAGCAGGCAGAGCACCGGCGAACGACATCTGACGTAGGCACTACCACTTCGGCTGTCGTTGCAGTCGAGCCTACAGCACTGGCAGCGGCCTATTGTGCCATTGGCGTCAGTCAAGCTCATTGGGCGCGGCTGACGTACGAGGTCGAAACACGCTCCAACATCCAAGCCAAAGCCATCCAGTACCTTCGAAAGGCACTTGCACCAAGCCTGGGTGACGAAAACAACGTGGAAGCTCTTTATGCGCTGGCTTTGACACTGGCCGAAACAAGGGATATTCCAGGTGCAATCAAGGTCGCCAAGCGTGCGCTTTCCCCGGCAACAAAAGGCACAGCACTCAGCGCCGATGGGGTTCTATCTGATGGGATTGCCAGCGAATTCGGCCGGGAGCGCAAATTGATACCAGTCTGGCACCTTTTGGCCTTGTTGTTGACATCACGATCTGATTTCGCTGCTGCTGAGCGAGCTTGTGACGCCGCTTTTGAGCAATTTGGGGATCCTGCCGTCTTGTTTGGTGGTAGTGATTCTGGCGCCTACCGTAGCCAGCATTTGAATGACGCTGCTGGCCACGGCAACCCGGACTCGGGTGTTGTGGACCGCATGGAACGCTTCGAGAAGAACAACATCCTGCAGATTAAGATCACGCAGTTAACCCTGCTCGAAATCACCGACGGTGCTTCTGTTGCGGTAGATGGATGTGACGAACTGCTTGCTTTATATGGCCGACTCTTTGGTGACCCAGCAGCAGAGGTGATCAAACCACCGACTCCTCCTGCAGCTCTAGCGCCCCCGAAGACTGCGATGGCTACTGGGCGAGGAAGCATCTTCCGTGGGCGAGGTTCGGTCAGGACCCAGCAGGAAAACATTGCTCGCAATGCATCCGCTGTCAGCTCCAAAACGGCCACCACGCAAGCAGACCAGGGCCCAGCCATCCAAGTCAACAACAACGAAAACGCGACTGATGCAGGCTCTCATCACCGACATCATTTGTTCCACCACAAGCAGGATGATGGCCAAGCTGGCGTTACGTCGAGCCCGAACAAACTACACAAGCCGCGTTCGACGAGTGTTGGTAGAGAATCTATCCCGGAAGTTCCGCCGCTGCCCGAAAGCGCAACGGATGGCTCTTCGGTGCCGACTAGCACTATGGATTCCAATGGCGAGAGAGCCCTGCGGCCTATCCAACACAATTTAGACCACTCAGCCCCCCCACTGGGGCATGCAGAGCATCCGCCTAGGCAAGACACGCGTCTCCCGTCGCGAGTTCGGCGCGCAGATTATGTGCCGCCCGATCCTTATTTCTCCAAGGTGCAAGAACGGCGACAAAAGGTTTCGCTACTCGTCAGCATATGGATCTTCATTGCTGGGCTATACGGAAGAGCGCACATGTATCAGGATGCGAAAGAGGCCGTGGCGGAAGCGTTCAAGTTGGTCGAGACGTTTGAAGCAGAGGTTTCTGCAGAGTCGACGACAGCCAAGGCACTTGCAGACAAAGGGTGGGGTGGTGGCAAGAGCGTGGAAGAACTGTGGGGTGATGCATACGCTGCGGTAAGTAATCAAGACTGTCATTGCCAGATATTTGCTGAGGCTTCCAAGCGTGGAGAACTCCTGGTTGCACAATCGCTTGCACACGAAGGCCGGGCAGATTTTGAGCGAGCTCTTCAGCATTTTCCCGATCATCCAGAGGGTATCGTTGGCCTGGCAAACCTACTTTTAGACATGTATAACGAAACGCTGGCGCTGGAGCCTGCGGATGGTGCCGACGCGCTGTCTCCATGTCTCCCGTCGTCGGCCTCGTCTATCCAAGCAAGCCCGTCGATTTCGCAGTCACAATACCTTAGTTCACACAGGCCTGGGGCCGGGAACCAGCTGTTGCCACCCCAGCTGACTCGGCTCGCGGCGCGCGATCGGGCATTTGGGCTACTGTCGAATCTGACCAAGCTTGGTAGTGGTTGGGATTACTCGGAGGCTTGGTACGCATTGGCTAGAGCTTATGAGGAGAGCGGACAAGTGGAGAAGACAAAGGAGGTGCTTTGGTGGTGTGTGGAGCTAGAGGACACGCATCCTGTGCGCCAGTGGAAGACGGTAAGCAGTGGGGGGTTCGTGCTATAATGTTTAAACGGTAGCAGTGGTTGGCCTTGACAAGACAAGATGTATGCTCCAAGCAATCAACATGGCCTTGTACTGGATGCTGCAGCACAATGTAGTCCCGTGACAAGGCGCTCTAGCGGTGTGATTGGCATGCGTGCGTGTTGCTTGCAACGAAGAATGCAGTTGTTGCATGGTGGTATGTATGATGGGCCGTGGATGTCTGCACCGCCACCGACTACGACTGTGATTGCTGAGGTGCCAGGCTCTTGCCGACAGGAAACACGGGGCGGTGCGTGGGCGAGCAGAGCCTCGCCATGGGGCTTATGCGTGGCTTGGCCGCAGCTGCGACTGTCAGTGTTTCAAGCGGCACGGCATAATGGCTCTTCTGCATGGAAGCGCAACGAGCCATTTTATGCTCATGGTGATGGAGCAGGAGTGTTAGTGTTGGGCTGCCAGGAGGGACCGGTCGAGGTGGGGAAGGGGCGGCCCGGACCAGTTTAGCGTGGCGCTAGTGCCGACCCTGCATGCACGCACATGGATTGTCGCCACCCGGACCCCTCTCGTCTCGTCTGGTCTCTCTCATTCTCGACCGTGACCTCGGCGCCGTCGCCTTGCTGGGAGGCATGGGGAATGCAAATGCGCTGCTGTACATGTATGGATGCTGTGGGCACATTGGAGCTGCTCGTGCGTGTACGACTGCGACCGCTGCTGCTGCTGCTGCTGCTGCTGCTTAGATGCCGTCAGCTGCCGAGCACCGACGACCCCGCATCCAAGCAAGCACAGCAACATGGACATTCACAGCCACGACGCTGATAGATGGCAATAGCAATGCCAATACCACGACGGGCTGCGACCACGACGACGCCTTGGCACGCGAGGTGGCCAATGGCAAACAACGCACGCGGCCCCACTCGCCAGTCACGCCACTCGCCTCAAGCCACTCACACCCAGCCACGGGGCGCTTACCTACGTATGTTGATGTCTTGGCCCTCTCCCCTCTCCCCTCTGCCCTCCCCCTCCCCCCACCACCACCGTCGCCGCCGCCCACGCCGACTGCATGGCCTCATCGGCCCCTTTGCTCAGCCGCCTGGCCTGTCCATGCACACATCCAAGTACGTATATGTGCTGCGACTATTACGACTGCTCCTACCAACCAACCAACCATGTAAACCGGCCGGCGTTTCTAGCCCACCATCCCCGCAGCGCCTGGCATCCAATGCACATGTGCATGCACAATCGCGAAGAGTGGGGCTCGAGAGCTGCGGCGCCGTCGTCGTCGTTTCCTTAGCGTGACGGGTCTCGCTGCCTTCACTTGTTGCAGCGGGGTTGTCGGCCACCGGGGCCTACATATAAAGCCCAGAGCCTCCTCTCGTCAGCCGCAACCCTCCGCAACCCTCCCCTTCCAAGTCTCCACAACCACCCCCCTGCTACACCACCCATCATGTCCTACTCATCCTTCTCCTACTCCGCCGAGGACATCCGCCTCGATGACGGCCACATCCTCCGGGCTCGTCTCCAGACGGCTGACGGCAACTGGAACGACTCGGAGATCGACCTCAACCAGTGCATCGGCAACGACAATGGTAACCAACGCCTTGACGTCTCCTGCAACAAGGCTTCTGTACTGACGCATGCAATGCAGGCAACTTTGCCTGGGACGGCGTCAACTTCTCCGACTCGGCCCAAGACATCACCTTCTCCATTGAGGGCGAAAGCAACGTCGCCGTCCTCCGCGCTACCTTGATGGACGCAGACGGCAACCCCCAGTACCGCGACATCAACCTGGATGAGCGCATCAGCAACCAGGATGGCAACTTCTACTTCCGTATGCATCTGCTACCTGGACACTGCAATGACCTGTTTTACTGACCCGTATACCAGAGTAAGCTCGTCTGTGACAACCAGTCTTGAGCAACGGGTGGGTGTATGTACTTTTGTCTCTTTACATGAATGGCCTTTTCTAGTACTAACATTACACTACTCAGATCTGATTATACTGGCCGTGTCTTGGCATGGGTCCATGGAGCTAGTGTCAACACACGGGTACTTTACGAGATTCATGAATGAAAAAGCATGACATCGACCTTCCCTCGACCCACGTGATGCAACCAAAATCGCCATGTCTTGATACACTACCGGCCATGCTCCTTGGGCTCCCGCCTCATCAATCCTCCCTGAAACTCATTCCAAATATGTCTAGTGCTTTGCTTTTGCATTGCCATGAAGCAATATCTTGATATTATACATCTGTGTAGGTGCCCTAAACAGCTGTTAGACGAGTAAGATGGAGAGTCCACTGCCTAAACTAATATCAAGGGTCCTTGAACCGTATGGACCCCGGAGAGTGTTTGCACGCACACATCTACCTAAGGCTTTACAGCCGCCATTGCGAAATCAAGTCTTCTTCAGCATGAAAATTGCCATGGAATTGCTGATCAAGGTAATAGTTTTTTCTATACAAGTGAGGCGGTAAAAGCACCTCCCCAAAAAGATTGAATCTAGTATTTTATCACGAGTTCAATGCTCGTGTTGGAAACAATGTACATGAACGAGACATGTCTAGCCAGTAGCAACGTACTTTAAGGCAGGCAGCACCGGATAGTGCACCAATCACATGTAGTCTCGCCGTTGTCATCCGTCGTACAGCCGACCTGAGAAGAGTTAGGAAACATGGTAACAAAAGTCATTATGGCTGGTCCACTTACGCAATCACCACTGCCGCGACAATCTGCAGTTGGTCCTACCCCAGCACACCAATTTTTACTTGGGACACTCCTGTCAAGCCACTTGCAGCTATTGCCCGTACCTGGCGCACAGTTCTTCGCATGTTTATCACATGAACTGTACCATGTGCATGTCATTGCCTGTGCCTGGGCAGCGAGAACCGCAAGAGCAAGGATTGATGTCTTCATGACTTCTGGAGAAACAAGGTAGGTAGGAAAGTAGGTAAGAAAGTAGGTAGGTAGCGAGTGGCCCAAACCAAAAATAGTGTTGGTAGAACTGGCAGAATGTGACAAGAATGCACAGTTGATATTTGGGGGCCGGGCTAGAGCAATCTATATATGTTATCGCCATATGAGTGATTATTTGTTTTCGAGATAGTGCTAGCCTGTTGCTTTTGGTCCAGATGCATATATAGGCAATTTTCGGGTTAAATGCACGCTTTAGAACCGAAGGATACGAAGGGGCCCTTGCCTCTACTTGCATATATTCCTAGGCGACTCCATCGCTCGAGTCACTAGGCTATCTTCCAAACAGCAAATAGTAGACGAACTGGAAAAGAGAAACCTTTGCTGTCGTTGAACGTATTTTCAGATGAACATGGAGCTTTAAGTTGGTTTAGCACCCGAAACTACACCTTTCACGTATCCTTTTCCGTTGCATATTCCCCACCCGAGTACCCATAGACAATCATTTCATCAATCACTAATAGTCACACTTCGGCAAACATTGGTTATGAAAGCCGAAGCACATCATGTGAAAACTCGTATTAGATGGTTTCACCACCCTCTTCGTCTTCATCATCATCGTCTCCTTCGTTCCTCTTCTTAAATAACGCACCCAGGGGAAATAGTTATCATCTAATCGTGCCAAGGAACTAGATTACTTAGTTATGCGTACTAGAGTACACCAAGTACTCAAGAGTCAGTAATACAAAGTCCTAGTAGCCCTGCCTGGTCAAAGATCAAAATGATTACATTACCTACGAATTGGTGTGTTCTGCTCTACCTGACCGCAACATCTACGGAAACTTCAACAAGGCTCACATAATTTACTGTAACAGAAGGCATGGGTGTGCCTTGTTGATCTATCGTACTCTTACGGCCTCAACGGCGTGTCTCGCCGGCTATGAGGGCGCTCGGATCGCTAGAGCGCATCGTCTTTTCATCAAACTCCACAACTACCGCCGAGAAAAACTGCAATTCCTCCGAAATGCATCCTATCAAGGCCGAAATGAATGCTATCCAAGTTCTGGAGCCCAGACCAAATGACCTTGCACTGGCCCATGCACATCGTGATTGAGTTGGTACTAATAAGTTTTCATTGATCGCGTGGCCATGATAGGAGTTTCAACACCCATCCAGGGTGCCATCTTCTATCGAAATAGGCAACAAGTTATGCCTAATCTCATGATTGGCTACCATCGTAGGAAATATTAATCAGCTCAATATCGGAGAGGGCGCGTAATTGGTACTAGGGGTGATTGAGCCCAAGTATTTCCTTCGAGAAGGTTGCAGGACAGTAAGGTGCATGTGGGATACACGTGTTTTATAGTCCTGATCAATCAGACCTGGACCTATGTCATGAAAGACATTTGATGTTATCTGCCAGTCGTACCCTAATACAGCGTCATGGCAGGCACACTAGCCATGGAATCTTTGAGCGACTGCAGGCAGAATGGCACTTATGGCCAGAACAATGCAGTTGCGAAAACACATGATTTGACGTACTAGTCTAATACCGATGAAGGTAATCTGGACATTATATCGCATGACATTATCTTTTACACATGCCACGCAAAAGGCAAGCCTAACGCGCGTGAACCATAGGCAGTACTAAGTACGACCACGTCGTGTTTTCCTTTCATTCCTGACGATACTAATCGCAGCATTACCATCTAGAAAAGATAGGTAGATGGCTCGCACTATGAACCAACCCATGAGACTGAGCGGTCTGAGAAGAGCGAGATTGCGTCATTTTGGTGCAGATCAACCCGAGAGCTAGATCAACCGAATGATGTTTATACAGCACCAATGGCAATTGCATTGAAATAAATCGCGCAGAGATACAGGTATCGAGTTATAGAAAATAGAAACGAGTGCAATAGAACCAGTTTAGCGTTGGCGGTTTCGGTTGGGTAGCTCCATCTCATTCAATACGCTCCACCAAATACCTTTGGCAAGATTATTTTATACAGAAGCCTGTAGATTGGTAGTAGGGATATGATCGAACTAACGGCTATTACGAAGATGGCGCTGTTGAGGGTGGGGTAACAAGGGCAGTATAAGCTGCACAGATCACAGTTCCATGGCCTAATACTCACTAGGCTTAGAAATGGGGTAAAGGTTTCTAGCCGCCAGTAAAAAATCCTAGCATTACTAATTACTTATGATGAGTAAAGCAGCTACGCTAATAAGCTCTAATTTATTATATAGTACGAAGCTATAACGTATTCCACCACCGAGAGTGCCACCCCACCGAGAGTGCCACTTTTTCTTGGCATCGCGAACTTCACGTACGAAAGACAATGCCTCAACAACAGAACGTGATATTTACTCAGCAAGAGGGTAGGCTTACTCTAGCAGTTCAGGCCTATCGTACAGGCCAGTTTAAGAGCATTCGACGCGCTGCAGCAGCCTATAACGTCCATCATCAGCAGATCTCTCGGCGGCTTCAAGGAATCACCTTTCGACCTACGACGCAGCCAAATTGCCAGAAGCTAACTAAATCTGAAGAGCAAACTATCGTACGATACATTCTTGACCTAGACTCGCGAGGATTTGCCCCCCGTCTATGTGAAGTAGCAGATATGGCAGAAAAACTACTACGCGTACGAGATGGCCAGCCTTTAGGCAAGAACTGG